ATCCCCAGTAGGAGGTGTGCAGGAGGCAGCTGATCGATGTTTCTCTCATTGATGTTTCTTTTTTTTAAAATATATTTTATTAATTTTTTACAGAGAGGAGGAGGGGAGAGGGATAGAGAATTAGAAACATCGATGAGAAACATTGACCAACTCCCTCTTGCACATCCGCTATTGGGGATGTGCCCGCAACCAATGTACATGCCCTTGACCAGAATTGAACCTGGGACCTTTCAGTCTGCAGACTGATGCTCTACCACTGAGCCAAACTGGTTTAGGTTCATTGATGTTTCTAACTCTCTATCCCCCAAAAAAACATCAGTGAGAAACATCAATCAGCTGCTTCCTGAACACCCCTCACTGAGATGTGCCCGCAACCAAGGTACATGCCCTTGACTGGAATTGAACCTGGAACCCTTGAGTCCGCAGGCCGATGCTCTACCCACTGAGCCAAACCAGTTATGGCCAGTGATGTGTTTTTAACAAGCCTGTGCTGACTTACTGTTTGCAAAGATATAGTTAGCACCTGGCTTTCTAAGATGTTGACAAGAGTCACAGATCCTTCATGCTGCTTTCTCCTAACTTCGGGGGCTTCCAGGTACCCCAGGATAGAATATGTTTCCTTCGTGAAATAGTTAAAAAAAAGTTGTGCTTAATGACACCAAAGCAAAACACACACAATCCAACATAAAAAGCCCCACAAAAGGTCCCAGACGAAAACCAAAGAGAAACTCTCCCTGACACACTGACAAAAGATCTCTGACAATGACCACATCACAGCTACAGGGGAAAAAATGATTTGTCGACGGTTTCCCTTGAGAAGACCTGTGCGTGTCATCTTTGTGTAAACATGTTAAAACGGACACGGAGAGCCAAATGCTATCCTCCCATTTAACCTCTCTTTTCACTGACCTCCTACAGTATAGAGTGTATCTATTTGCATTTCTTTTTGAGTGATTTCGTTTGGAGCAGATGAATTTTATACATCTGCGTTTTGAATGAAATCTAAATCCTCTTTAATATAGCGTGGAGAAAAACAAAAAGGAGGACTGACCGCTGCCAATTTAGTTTCAGCCATTTTATACAGGAATCCAAAAGCATCAGATTTCCTCACACTCTGGGAACAATATAGAGCATGAACAAAAGGTTACAGAGGCAAGAAAGCGTAATTGATTCTGAAGAGCGTGAACATCTGCAAAGAATGAATTGTAAGAGAAAATGATCTCTGAGAGTCCCGCTTAGGATGAAACAGTTTCTAGTTACTCATGTCGGGGAAATGACCCTCCGCTCCGTACTGCCCCCCTCCCCTCCGTATTGCCCCCCTCCCCGCCCCCGCCAAGTCCAAACCACAGAGCAGAGGGACATACAGCTGCTTGGAGCTGGTTTCCACAACATGAGGTGGAGAAACCTCAGAAAACTACATTTTCCCAGTGGTGTTGAGCTGATGGCCTTAGAGGACAAGTCAGAAAAACTGTATTCTGGCCCAAATCCTGTCACTAAATGAAAGGTATGAAATGTGACCGTGGCCAAAGCAATTTAGCTATTTGGGCCTCAAGTTCCTCAATCTGACAGGGGAGGCTGGGCTCCAGGAGGGAAAAGGTCCTATTTGATGTTCTCTATAATGATAAGATGAACATTACACCCCTCCTCCTCCTCCCCGCTTCTAGAAGTCTCTTGGTCCTCAGGTTTGCAATTTCAGAGGGAAAAGACAAAAATTCTAACACAAGTGATTTAAGAACATCAACATTTATTTAACATGATAAAAAAAGAAATGAGATATGAACATTTGCATTTAAACAATAGTAAGTAGCCTTTAATACATTACATGTGCTCATTGTATAATATATACACAATGAACATAATTACATTTGTACACAAACTAAGTACTGGATTTGAAAACCTGCTTATTGCTGTACACACCGATTCCAACGAAGTATGAGCCCAGTACTTCAAAATACCCACATTTTTAAATTGTTTTTTCAAGAAACAGTAAGCGATAACATTTGTGTTTAAGCTGACAAGAGTGTGGCAGTAACTGCTGACATTGCAATCTGAATGAGAAATAATTATAGCAGGAAACGAGACATACTTCACTTAGCAATAATAAAATGGCACATTTTAAATATATATATATATATAAAATTTTTACAAATCAAGTGAGAAACAAAGCCTTGCAGTAGCCAAAATGGAAGGAAAACACGAAACAAAACGAGCTTCATTGGAAAGAACCAAAATGATGTACTGAAAAGAAAAAGGAACTGTAACTCCACCGAGACTTTAGAAACACCCAAACCTGGAAATCAGCAACTAAGAGAGCGCTGGCGGTGGACCACACAGGAAAAGCACCTTGACTTATGTGCTCTGAAATCATAGCAGCAAGCTGGTGTCAGAAGAATAACCTTGAGATTACGGAGTGCACGTATGGGCCATTAAAGCTGTTTTGGAATAAACATTTTCCAGAAGTGATAATACGATGCTCTGTGGCCAAAAGCATCAGAACTATGAATTTCATAGATTTAAAATATACTGTACAATATCTCCTCACATCGCCGAAGGCCCGGGTCCTTGGGTCTGAATAGCTTCCGCACAAGTCAGTGTAGCTGAAAAACAGAGAGAGGGGAATTTACTTTGACACCTGCAAGTTAACGAATGGCCATTTCCTACAGCAGTGTTTCCCAAAGTGTGGTACGTGTACCCCCAGGGGTACGGGAAGTCTGGCGGGGGTACGGGTCGCACCCAAGTTTGGTGGGGATATGCAGAGGCAAAGGCACCGTGCTTAGCTGCGCCTAATCCTACGTTCTCATGAGTATGAGGGGTACTCAGCGTTACGAAAATCAGAGAAGGGATACACATATGTCGAAAGTTTGGGAAACACTGTCCTAAAGCTCCGTAACAATAGAAGCATGGCCTTGAAAACCCCAAAAAACCTAATACAATTAAAGGACACTCTCTCCTCACGTCCAAAAGCTCAATTCACAAAGCAAAGAAACATAATGCAATTAAAAGAGCAATTCAGAATCCAAACGATCAGCAAAAAAATGAGCCAATATTTGCATAACTCCACATGTACTAATCCAGTGAGCTGCCTGCATAGCAGTGCTGTGTGTAAAACTTTCCTATGTTCTGTCAGAACTACTAGCTTGGAAAGATGACACAGGCACAACACAAAGATATAAAATAACCACAGTTGAGCGTCACTTGTTCGCGGTGGCTGCGTGCCACGGGACTGGAAACTATCAGGCAATCACTGTACCTCATTCGAGTGTGTAATGCTAATGGCTCTGGAAATAGAAGTAAAACAAAACACAATCCAATAATAACAACTTAAGGAACCTGGAAATGTGCTCGAGTTTTTACTGAACACGTGTGATTACCAGAACGGCCCGTGTACAAGGAGTTGGACCCCGTTTGTCGCACCGAAAGACAAACGTGCTTCTAATGCACGTTTCTCCACTGAGACGGACAGAGGCCCCCGACCACACCTTCAGACAGGAGGAATCAGTGGGGCGTGATGTTTACTAGTCCTCTGCCGGATGTTATTCTGTCACTAGTGAGAGCTGTCCCTTCCCAACATATTAAAAGTTTAAATTCACAAGCGGCAGAGGCAAAGGCACAGGTAAGACTGTAACAGATTTTCTGGTTTGGGACTCCAGAAAAGATGTCAATCCTGTACCGATAGGGCTCCAGATAGACACAATCTCAAACAGAAGTTACAGCCAGGACAAGACGGTCCAACACAAACCCCTCTGGCTGAGAGGAAGGTCGCAGGTCATAGCTGCTGCCGACAGGTGGGAACGGGTGGAGTGGGCTCCAGAAAAGACGCTTACGGAACAAACGTGGTCGGGTTAGCACCCACACCCGTTTACTCTGAGACTCTGGGAACCAAGCAACGTAACGATGCTCAGGTCTCAAGGTGTGTTCGCTGCTTCTAACTGTGTAACGGAAACTGGCGGTCACCTGAAGGCACAAAAATTGCTAGATCTGGTAAAAAGGTTGAGGGGAAAAAATGCATAAAAGGGCATAGTATGCTCCTTCCGTATCTCACTGATCTTCTGAAAAGTTAATAAGTGTGTATCTACTTGCACAGAAGAGCAGGTAGCATTTAGTGCTGTTTAAATAATTTAAGGTTTTAGTCTTCGTTCTGAAACTGTGGTTGAAGGAACATTACTCCAAGAAAGGCTTTCTTCTTCTTTCTTTCCCTGCCCATGGCTTTCTGAGTAACTACTTCCCTGTCTTAAAATTTTTTTCCCCCTCACCAAAACCGGTTTGGCTCAGTGGATAGGCGTCGGCCTGCAGACTGAAAGGTCCCAGGTTTGATTCCGGTCAAGGGCATGTACCTTGGTGGTGGGCACATTCCCAGTGGGGGGTGTGCAGGAGGCAGCTGATCGATGTATCTCATCAATGTTTCTAACTCTCTATCCCTCTCTTTTCCTCTCTGTAAAAAAAAAATCAATAAAATATATTTAAAACATTTTTTCCCCTTAAATTTAGAAATAATTTCTGATATATCTTAAAGATTTTAATATTCCATCTATTAGACTATCCCATAAACATTTCTTTGTCCTTCGAAATAATGAACAAACTCCCAACGCGGTAGATAAGTCAAACTAACTTAGAGACATTACTCTGTCGACATGTAATGACTTCAACAGACTTCTGCGATCCAGTTATGGAAAGGAACCCTCGATGGGAACACAGCTGCAAAACACTGGGAGGCCTGTGCTGGTGTAGGCCGTCCCCGCCAGGTTTTGCTGTTTTCACAGATGAAATAAGAGACAGGGAAAATGCTGGGAGACGCTGGAAGACAGCCAATCCCTGGAAGGGCCAGCGGTGGGAACGTGAGTACTGCCTGTGGTTCCAAGACTTGCTCTGCCAACCATCCCCAGGCCTGACCCGGGCTTAATCTCCGTTTCTATTCCCTAAACCAGCAAATGAGTACAATTCCCGCCGGTCAGGAGGGCCGAGGGGAAAGCGCGAAGGGAAACCACGTACTTGGTCCGAGGCTACACACACATGAAATGCGACCCCTCCGTGAGCTGCGGCTGGGCGGGCGGGCCCGGGGACGCGGAGGACGCCGGAGACGAGGGCAGGCTTTTCACTAAAACACCGAGAAAAGACGAGAAGAGAAACATCTTTAAGACACTTGGAAATCTAATGCTGCGGAGGACATGTTTTGAGAAGGAAGGAATAGTTAGCTGCGTTTGGTTTGTTACTTTCTAATCTGGGAAGGAGTGTTCAGCGTGAAATGTCTCTGGAACACTGTTTAAACTTTTTCTTCCGTGTAGATCTTAAACTTACATAGTGTTATGTCAATTGTATCTCATAAAAATGAGAAAATTTTTTTTTTTTAAATTTGATGCTTGGTGCACGAATTCGTGCACGGGTGAGATCCGGCTGGCAGGGCGATTGGGCCAGGCTGGCGGGGAGGGGACTCAGGCCCTGCCCCCTGGTTGAACTCCAGTCGGTATCCTGGTAGAGGGAACAATTTGCCTATTACCCTTTATTATATAAGGACTTTTTTTTTTTTTTTTTTTTTTTGCTTTGAAGTCAATTTCCAGGTGTCTAGCAGTGAATCACTTTTAAAAGCCTTTCTAGTTCCATGCGGGTATAAACCACAGTTCAAACATTGTGGTTTTAATAGTCACAACACCACTTTGACCCAGACAATCCACAACAATAACTAAAATTGTCACCGACAATGAAAACATAAGTGAGAATTCCAGGGTACAGCACCTTGCAAGTGACAGTGAGACAAAGGAAGAGAGAGCAGTTACTATTAGTTACAAAGGATCATGATGAGATAAATTTGCATGTTATATGCATATCAAACGCAAAAAAATGCTTTATCTAAGAACAATTCTGAATAACTGAATTTCATTGTACCTACCCTTCTGCAAAGTGATCAGAAGGGTGGTGAGGGAGGGGGAGGATTACTAGGAATAGTTTTTTGAGCCGATAATATATATTAGTGGTATGATCCTTTCCCTCCCCCAAAAGTCCTAAATGAAGAAAAAGAGAAAAAAGATGTGAAGAGTTTAAAAAATGTGAAAGAAGAATAGCACAGAAATCTTTAATTTTTAGCTATGGATTACAGTCTTCTACTATCAAATAGTCTTCTACTATTATCTACTAGATGTGGATAATAATCCATTACTGCAGTAGAGGCTAAACAGATCCATTCTACCAATTTAGACATTCAGTCATCCAGTTTCTGTAGTGGTAGGTTAGTGAACACTCTGAAAATCTCCTCTCAGAGACCCTAACAGATAAATTTTCCAAGTTCTGAAGAATCTTCTTATTAGAAAAGAATTTATGGTATGTATTAAGATTAAAAGCAAAACCAAAATAAAAAAATGATCTCAATCAAGGACAGCCTCTGAGGGTACCTAGCTGGTTAGGCAGGGGTCACCCTGTCCTCCTTTCTCAGCGGCATCCCTCCTGAAGGTGCTTGGGGGAGGCAAAGGATGATGGATCTGTAGTCAAGGTACTTAAGCGGCTCTCTTGCTAAAAACCTTTACACGGGAAATAGGTGCAGAGTCCCGAGGAAGCGTCAGCGAGAAAATCATGAATTGTGTAATATCTACCTGTCATTGTTTGGTTCCCTTTAGAAGCCTCAGGAGTTAGTTCATAAGAAACAACACTTTCTTCCTGCTCCTCAATATTGTCCTCTGCATTTTCTTCAGGATGGCCTTCTGACTTATGATTTGTGATCTGTGTCTCATCTTGAGGGCTAATGAAAATAGATGTTTTAAAATTTATTACAGAATGCAATTAATTTTTCTTCTAATTTATTAAAATGTGTGTGTGTGTGTGTGTGTTTTAGTTGATTTTTGGAAAGGAAAAGAGAGGGAGAGAAAGAAACATCAATGAGATAGAATCATCGATTGGCTGCCTCCTGCACGCCCCCTACTGGGGATCAAGTCCACACAAGGGCATGCGAACTGACTGGGAATCAAACTGGTGACCTCTTGGTGTATGGGTCAATGCTCAACCACCGAGCAACACCAGCCAGGCTGAACTCATAGATTTTTAAAAACTGGGTTTATTGGGGTAATATTGATTAACAAAACCACACTTGTGAAACAGATACCATTATTAGGTTTCAAGTGCACAACTCCATGAAATACCTGCACCCTGCACCATGTGCCCATTGCCCCAAATCAAGTCTCTTTCCATCCCCACTTACCCACTTTGCCTCTTCTACCTCCCCTCCCCTCCCTTTCCCTCTGGCTGTCCCCATACTGTTGTCTATAGTATATATATTCATTATCCTGGGTGTGTTTCAATCTATGCCTATTAACAAAAAATCAGCAGAGATGTTTTTCCTATCAGCTTTTGCCAAATATTTTGTACAATGTCTTCAGTGAATAGCAGAATTGAATTTGAAATATAAGGCATTGCTAATAACATTAATTCATAGCCTTTCTCTTTTCTAACACTGGTAACTTTTTAAATGGAGGATGACGCTGAGCATATGCACTTAAAGATGCTAGTTAACAAACACAGCTAAAAAAATAAATAGCAAAGCACTATAACTGTTGAAACACTTACCAAACAACTTAGACTTCTTTTGATCTATGTCTATCATTACAAAGGCATGTCTTTCATTACTTGGCTATAGCTTATGTGCCTGTTGACATTTAAAGAAAAGGTATCGAGGCGCTCCCCCTCCAGAGAGCATACCCATGCCATTTTATTCCCCCCATTCCTTCCCCACAGGCACGTATCCCCTAATCTCTAAGAGACCTCAGGAGACTTAAACCAGAAGTTTAAGCCAATGGACAGCGGCAGTGCATCCTGGGCTAACCCCCTGAATCTGTCTCTAAGGCTCCCCTTTCTCCCACTTCCCAGTGAGCCAAAGCAGCCCATTCTGGGCTCTCCTGTGGCTTCTATGCCCTTCCTTATTTTACTGCTTGCTCTTAAAAAAAAAAAAAAAAAAAAGGTATTGTCCTAGCTGGTTTTGCTCAGTGGATAGAGTGTTGGCCTGCAAACTGAAGGGTCCCAGGTTTGATTTCAGTCGTGGGCTCGGTCCCCAGTGGGGGACTTGCAGGAGACAGCCAATAGGTGGTTCTCTCTCATTATCATTGGTATGTCTATCGCCCTCTCTCTCTTCCTTCCTCTCTGAAATCAGTAAAAATATATTTAAAAATAAATAAATTTAAAAAGGCATTAACTACTTCCTAGGTGCTAAGACAGTGTTAAGTGCTAAACATGTATTTTCTTTTCTTTCTTTTAAAAATATATTTTATTGATTTTTTTACAGAGAGGAGGGGAGAGGGATAGAGTAGGAAACATCGATGAGAGAGATACATTGATCAGCTGCCTCTTGCACACCCCCTACTGGGGTTGTGCCCGCAACCAAGGTACATGCCCTTGACCGGAATCGAACCTGGGACCTTTCAGTCCGAAAGCCAATGCTCTACCCAATGAGCCACACTGGTTTTGGCTGTATTTTCTTTTTTAACCCTTACAACACATTTGTGAAACAGATACCTTATTAGCCTCATTCTTCTAAGAGAGAAAACTGCACCTTACGTAGGTATATAGCTTGCTGGGACCAGAATACAAGACTTTTTGACTCTGAAGTTTACCATTTTTAAGCAGTTATGTGAATGATTTGTTTGTTTCCCTTAATTATTACCTGCATGAAACATCTTCTGGCATGTTTTCTTTGTTTCTTCCTTTATCCGTCACTTCCTCAGAATTTACGCCATTTGGTTCAGGCTTGAGAAGTGTTTCGTATAAAACATTTTCTGTTTTTTTAAACTACAGAATAAAGAAGAAAGTTTTCTTTTTCAAGGCATTCATACCATATCTATATTTAGTAGTAAACCTAAAATAATTACCAAATGAAAGTTTTAAAAAAATTATATACTGTCAAATACTTACTGAAATACAAATGTAGATTCAGGTTATCTTAAAAATATTAACATTAAAAACATTTTTTATAAGAGTTTATTTGCATCAAGCTGACATGCCAAGGAGCAAGATCTAAAATGCCTCAACATTCTTTATTACGAACATGAAAAGTTATTTGCCCAAAGGGACGAAGCACATTGTTTTAGTTAGTTGTTTTGGGATACACGAGTCCAAATTTAATTGGGCCAGCAGCAATTTAGTCCAGCCCTGACTGGCCATGCTTTGAAGTTTTAAATTAATCAAATTATATAAAACTGCTCATTTCACTTAGATCTTTTCATTGCCTTTTGTGGCAAATGAAACAATACTTGCATCCTTAATATAACTGATCTCATCTTCAAAAACCTACCCCGACCCCTTAGAATTATCTGTCCAAAAAATAAGGTCTGTACCTCTTCACTGAAATTTGTGTTTTGAGGTTCAGCTTCTTTCAGTCGAACAATTTCCTCTGCAGGAGTTTCGTGGTTTGGCTTTACGTCATTTTCTCGAATGACAGTGTCTGGGTCCTTACTGTTATCATCCTTCCTTCGAGTCTGTCCAAAAGACACAGAGCAGCCTTAGAGGCACACTATGCAGCCATTGAGATGGCACCTGCTGAGTTCCAAAGAAAGCTAGATCTTCACTCAATATGAAAATCAATAGAAACAAGATCTATTTAATATATATCACTATACTTATATACATCACTTACATATTAATTATGTAGGTATTAATATATGGCATACTAACAAAAGGCAGTATTCCACACACTTCTTCATCCTCATTTCTCTTATTTTTATTTTTTAAAAAAAATATATTTTATTGATTCTTTACAGAGAGGAAGGGAGAGGGATAGTGAGCTAGAAACATCGATCTGGCACACTCCCCACCGGGTATGTGTCCACAACCAAGGTACATGCCCTTGACCGGAATCGAACCTGGGACCCTTGAGTCCGCAGGCCGACACTCTATCCACTGAGCCAAACCTCATTACTGCAGTCATTCAACTGCTAGTCAGCTGACTCTCCAGCAGTGACGCCTGCTCTTGGTTCGATGAAAAGGAAATTTCTATGAAGACAGGGAAGCACTTTCAGCTGATCCATGTCTACTATGGGGGATAGATCAAACTGAAGCTACTATGCTCTGCTTTATTCAACAGGGTAACAAACAAACAAAGAACAAGGAATGAAAGGCTGTCAGTTTGCGAGACTGAAGCTGAAATGTGATGAACAGCAGAGCTTTAATTTAGAAGCTCTTTCCGGCTCTAATTAAGGTCATGTGAAATTAGGCCACAGAGTCATACACATTTTATTGGGAGGGGAACTGGGGACTCTCTTGGTAACCTGCATGGCACTTTACATTTGCTAAAAGCACTTTTATCTTCTTGGTATCTCTGTGGGGGAGAGGGGACACATCGGATCATTACCTGAGTTACAGCAGAGGAGATTAAGTCCACGGCTGATGCAAAAGCACACAAGCTTTGGTTTTTGAACACAGGGCACTTTCCACTATACTAAGCTGTGCTAGCTTATTATTATACCAGTTAAATAACGAAAATAACTATCCATACAGCAGACATGTGAAAACCCAGGAAACATCTAACTACGATTCTAAGATTCAAGTGATACTAGATTTTCACACAATGATGAAAAGGAACTGCTATACCTGGGTAATAACCCTGAATGGATTATCCCTTAAGTTTGAAGGACTCTGTAAGGGTGACTGATCTAAAGCACCAATAACATTTAATGCTTTCTTCTTTTCCCGTAAGCATGCTTGTTGATGCCTCCTTATTCTTTCCATTTGTTCTTCCACGGTCATCCTAGGTCGAGTAGTTTCCGCCAAACACAGTTGCTCCACTGCACTCCTTGGTCTTTCCTTTAAATTAAAGAATAAACATATGAATACATAGTTATAGAGACTTCGGAAAAGTATGTTGAAACAAAATGCATTTCTTTTCTCCTCAAAATCAAAAGTGGAGGTTTTGAATGTCACTTATATAGCATCAGAAAGGCAAGTTATTTTAACCTTAATAGGTAATTGGTGATGCAGTCTATGATGAAAAGAGAGGAGAAAGAGAAAAGAAAATAATAAGGGTAGCCGAAACCGGTTTGGCTCAGTGGATAGAGCGTCAGCTTGCGGACTGAAAGGTCCCAGGTTCAATTCCCGTCAAGGGCATGTGCCTTGGTTGTGGGCACGTCCCCAGTGGGGAGAGGAGGGGTGCAGGAGGGGGGGGGAGGTGCAGGAGGCAGCTGATTGATGATTCTCTCTCATCGATGTTTCTGACTCTCTATCCCTCTCTGTAAAAAAATCAATAAAGTATATTAAAAAAAAAAATAGTAAGGGTATTTCTTTCTCTATGAACAAATAATAGTATTATAGAATCATGATCACTGTTAATATTGACACATAGTTATTATTTTATTCTACATTAATTATTCCTATAGATCTTTATAATTTTGTATTAATTGAAAAGATAGTTCTTATATATAATTTGTCATATTTTTTTTTTTGTCATATTCTGGGTAGCTATACTTTAATATCTTTAAAAGATAACCATAGACCTTTTTTGTTGTCATACCATTCAGTCTTTTCTTTCACTTAAAATTATCTCATACCAAGTAAGTAGAGACTTTGCAAAGATGCAAAGTAAAAGTTCTTTGGCAGCTCAGATTTCTAAAACTACCAGCGTGGTTTGGAGCCAGTTTGAATTCAATGATTGAAGATGGAAGTGTGAAACACAGGATTTATTTCCCAATCCCAACTCACATTTCGCAGATCAGCCAGAGGATTGGCAAACTCCAAATCCACCCCAAGTGAGAGGCCCTGCAAACTCAGGCCAGCTTGGAAACCCATTCACTGGGGTGACCACAGGACACGTCTATCACTCTCCCCAAGGAAATTCTTAGACGTGTCAGACTCCTTCTAGAAATTAATTTCTAGCTAAATACCGTTCTTGAATCCACCATCTTCTTCGTTTTCCTTAAGGTCACATATGAGGCTATTGTCGAAGATTCGGGTGTTGGTGACTTTGTTCTTGGAGACACCACTCCAACAGGAAAGTGGGAACCTAAAAATTAAAATAGGAGTCATCTCTCACATAACATGGCTTTTTTTTTTAATTTATTTTTTTTAACATACTTGATTTCTGAGGCTTTTAAAATCATAAGACAAATTTATTGTTTGGAAAGAGCCAGGGAAAATGTACTAGGCTTCTATTACCTACTAGAGGCCCAGTGCACAAAATTTGTGCAAGGGGGGTAGGATGGGGTGGTGGTGTCCCTCAGCCCAGCCGGCACCCTCTCCAATCTGGGATCCTTTCACAATCCAAGACTGCTGGCTCCCAACTGCTCACCTGCCTGCCTTCCTGATTGCCCCAACCACTTCTGTTTGTCAGCCTGCTCATCCCCTAACTATTCCCATGCCAGCCTGATTGATGTCTAGCTGCTCCCCTGCCAGCCCATTTGCCCCCAACTTCCCTCTTCTGCTGGCCTGGTCACCCCTAACTGCCCTCCCCTACAGGGTTGATCACCTTCAACTGCCCTCCCTTGCAGGCCTGGTCCCTCCCAACTGCCCTCCCCTGTTGGCCATCTTGGGATGACCATCTTGTGTCCACAGTGGGGCAGGATCTTTGACCACATGGGAGCAACAATCTTGTGTTGGAGTGATGGTCAATCTGCACATTACTTTTTTATTAGATAGATACAGGCCTGGTGCACGGGTGGGGGGCAGCTGGTTTGCCCATGGGCTGCCTGGGTGAGGGGCCTGTGGTGGTTTGCAGGCCCGCGACACCCCCCAGTGACCCAAGTGGAGGCCCTAGTATGTGGGATTTATGTGTCTTCTACAATTGAAACTTTGTAGCCTGGAGCAGAGCCAAGCCTTCTGCTTGCTCCATGGCTGCTGCCATTTGTTTGGATTTGTTTACCTTCTATAATTGAAACTTTGTAGCCTTGAGTGGAGGTTTATGCCGGCTAAGGCAGGCGGAAAGCTTGGCTTCTTCCATTGCCTGGGAAACCCAAGTCTCCCTCCTGCTCTCTGTGGCTGCAGCCATCTTGGTTGGGATTAATTTGCATACTCAATCTGATTGGCTGGTGGGTGTAGCAGAGGTATGATCAATTTGCATATTACTCTTTTATTAGATAAGATTCTAGCTCATAAGCTAGCCAATGATATTACCAGATAAATTTAGGGTTAGATTTAGAAATAAAGTTCTACAGATTAAAAGATGATATTAAAAATCCTCTGGCTGGGTAGCTCAGTTAGTTAGAGTGTCTTGATACAGTAAGGTTGTGGGTTAAGTATGGTGAGGGCCCATACAAGAATAAACCAATGAATGCACAAATAAGTGGAGCAATAAATTAATGGCTCTTTCTCTCTCTCATCAATCAATAAAAAATATTTAAAAACTTAGTACCCCGAATCAATCATAGATCCTTATGGGTTATTTGCTTCCTCAAGTCCACAGAGCTCAGCAGCAGCATGGCTGGAGTCTGTGTTAGCCCTCTGCTTCTTCAGGAAACATTCACATTTTCAGTACATTAATGTAATCCTCTCACATCTCACAGATTGCAAAAAGTTGGTCTCTTTCTTTCTTTCTTTCTTTCTTTCTTTTTTTTTTTTAATATATTTTATTGATTTTTCACAGAGAGGAAGAGAGAGGGATAGAGAGTTACAAACATCGATGAGAGAGAATCATCGACCAGCTGCCTCTTGCACACCCCCTACTGGAGATGTGCCCGCAACCAAGGTACATGCCCTTGACCGGAATCGAACCCGGGACCTTTCAGTCCCCAGGCCGATGCTCTATCCACTGAGCCAAACCGGTCCCAGCAGTTGGTCTCCTCTTTCAATTATACTGGACTGTCTCAATAAAGAAACCACTAACAAAGTTAACAAAGGTAATCATTGTCACTTATTCTTTTACAATTAGAAAAGAAGAACTCACGTCAACCAGAAAAAAGAAGTGTCTCGCACCCCCCCAACCCACAAAGACAAATGGTGTAGGTCAGTCATTCAGGACCCCTTTAGCCTTTAAACCAAACAATCTGCAACTCAATTATTTGCTATTGTTGTTTTTTGATTTTAGAGAAGAAGCGGGGTGTGTGTGTGTGTGAGAGAGAGAAATGTCGATATGAGAGAGAAGCACCAATCAGTTGCCTCTTATACATGCCCGATTGGGAATTGACCCACAACCTGGGCATATCCCGTAATTTGGCATCAAATCCATTGTGTGATGTTTCTCTCTCATCGAAGTTTCTAGCTTTCTATAAAAAACATCAATAAAATATATTTAGAAAAAGAATTCTGAATACAAGGCCTTTGTCAGGTGTATATATTGCTAATATTTTCTTCCATTCTCATGAGCAGAAGTTTTAAACTTTGATGAAAAGTAACTACTTTTAAATAAGAATAAGTTACAAATATTCTTCTAAGTGATTCAGAATTCACATAACACATTCTCATACATTACCACAATATCATAATATTACTTACTATTAGATACTATCTAGAATATATTTATATTTCCATAATTATCCCAAGAATGTCTTTACAGAATTTTCCTTCAAACCATAATCCAATCAAGGTTCAAACATTGCATTATATCTGGCATTTTCAACATTTTTAATCCTGAATAACTCCCTTCCTGTTACCCTTTTTCTTTACAATACTGAAGAATGATCAGCATTAAAAAAATGGTATTATTTCATGGAATTTATTCATTTTATAGAAACTTTATGAAAATTTGTTTCAGCCCTTAATCTTTTATGAATATATTTTTCCCAGTTTTCTCATCACCACTTATTTTTATTTTATTATTTTTAAAATTTATTTCTTCCTTCCTTCCTTCCTTCCTTCCTTCCTTCCTTCCTTCCTTCCTTCCTTCCTTCCTTCCTTCCTTCCTTCCTTCCTTCCTATTTATATTTTATTGATTTTTTTACAGAGAGGAAGGGACAGAGATAGAGAGCCAGAAACGTTGATGAGAGAGAAACATCGACCAGCTGCCTCCTGCACATCCCCCACAGGGGTTTGTGCCCGCAACCAACGTACATGCCTCCGACCGAAATTGAACCTGGGACCTTTCAGTCCGCAGACCGATGCGCTACCACTGAGCCAAACCGGCTTTGGCTAAATTTCTTTATTGATTAAGGTATCACATATTTGTCCTCAACTCCTCATTCCAATCCCCCACCCATCCCCCACTCATGCCCCCACCCTGACCACTGGTTAGGTTCATATGTGTGCACATAAGTCCTTTGGGTGATCTCTCCCTTCTATCCCCACCCTCCCTTTGAGGTCTGTTCTTGTTATATATAATTTTTAAATAGAAAACCAAAAATAAAAAAATAACACAAAAAGAAAAGCCTTTTAAAAGTGTGTTATAAACTTATTTCTCAGTAAAACCTAATAGGAACTGATTTATCCCACTTAGGGTGAATATTCCAGAAATATCAATGTGTTTAAAAGAAGGTGCTGCCTCATGCCTAGCTGAGGTAACATCATATATGATTTATGGGTCATGTCATTTTTAAATATATGTACCTTCTGAATTAAAAAATTTGTCAGATCCCAAAGTTTTCAGATAAGGGATTGTGGACTGTTCATGTACTAGGTCAACATGAAAATGGAATTTATTGCTAAAATGTCTGAAAACACATCCCAAGTTCTGACCTTTAACTGAAGCTTCCATTTCTGAAACAGGTTCTGATTTTTCTTCTCCATTAGATTCATCAACTTCTGCCACAGTTGTTAACTCTGGTTCACTCTTGTAGAGTCTATAATCTGGACCCTTGAAAGGAAGATATGCAATTAAACAAAAAATTGGTGCAAGTTTCTTGTAAAATGTTTACCAATAAAGACTCAAATCAAACTCTAAAAATTAAAAGCCTCAGTTACCTATCTTGGGTATAACACAATAATTAATATATGCTACAACTAAGATAGAAGAAAAACAATTTGAAGCATTTTTAACAGGTAAATGTTTTGGTTTTAAAAGTTAGTAATATTCCTCTTGGGAATAGAGTTCTTTTTAGAACATTTTTATCATAATACAACTGAGGCCTGAAAATAATTATATCATATTAACTCAATTAGTTCGATTGCCTTTTTCCTTATTCACTTTTCCTTGTTTATTGCATTTTACATTTGTTTAACCCAAACCTCCATTTCCAGTTTCCATGGGTGATGTCTCTGCTTGGCAATGTCCACAACCTTAACAGTTTTTCTATAATAAACTGAACTGCCTGCGTGCGTCCCAACCCTTTTATCGTTCCCAGTAATCCTTTTCTTTCTGACCTAAAAAGATTCCATTTGTCCACAATATTCCGACACGATAGGTTTAAAATATGACTCATCTGACCATATGCAAAGCACCCATTTTATAAAAATATTTATGAAAAATATGAAATTATGAAGGACGATTACAGTTGTGAAAAGCATTAAGAAGTGAGAATGATATAACCAACACAGAAAAAAAACAAAAGGATAATGTTGGAAACAAAAACAGCCGTGGCTGAAAGCGGTGTTATAAAAAAAAGTTTGGACGTAAAACAAATTCACTTTCAAAAAAATGAGAGGGCATATAAAACTGATTATTCTGTGGCTACTGCAGCCACTTACACAGTGAGATCCATTTCTTGTATATCCTTGACCTTGAGTCTTCTTGTCTTCAGGCAGATGGACTGGGCCCCTGCTATAACAGAGCAAGGAGCTGCTATCACTGGGCAGAGGGGGGATTATGGGAGGCTGCTCTGTAAAGTCATAGGACCGAGGAAGTGGAGGACGAGGTGGGACTACTTCCTCTTCCTAAAGATTGTAGAACAGTCACCTTATTTAGATAAGCATACTGAGTTAAGTAGATCTAAATTCTTTGCAATGGTAAGTTAACTTAAATTAGCTTTAAGATAATTAAAGGGACACTGCCAAGCCAAAAGTCTCATATTGAAAAGTCACACCGAAAATACTTATGATAAGTCAATATAGTTTTAAATAGGGTTGTATCTTTTTTGGTAATTCAGCGTCTAAAACAGACACATGAGATGATTGCATTGGATTTTAAAAATAGAAAGAGAAAAAATTAATTTGAAAATCTTGTTGCCTATGTTTTGTGCCATTTTCAATGGAAGAAAAACAAACATTTCTTTTTGATTGGCTTTCATACATAATTTAAGACCATAGATGCTTTCAATTTTCGGTTGACAGTATCTCTTTGTAGTTGTAATTTCTTTATAGTATGCACGATACACAGCCAACTTATCTATCAATCATCCTACAAATGTTATCAAGTATAGCAATGATAAAAATTCAAATTACTTTTATTATAAAAAGCATGACAATATTAAAGTTCTAATATAGAGATGAAAAATAGTGATTAAACTTTTTGCATTAAGGGAAGAAAAATCACATTTGTTAGAAGTACCAAATCACTGAACCAGTGAAATTTCAAGATTAAAACAATAACTAGAATGTATTTAAAAAATACGTTTGTTATGAGTTTATGAATAGACAATTCTAATTCATGTTTTAAACATTTAAAATAACTTGTAGTTAAGACAAACAATTCGAACGTACCTCATTTTTGTACTTAACTGTTGTGAAAGGCTTTGATACTGCTATACCTATTAAAAAAGCATAAAAAATAACTTATACTAAACATATCTTTTTAAATCTACAGAAAAAGGAATTAATTTCATTTATTTTAAACTAGGGCTCTTGTGCACAAATTTTGTGCCTGGTCCCCCATAGTCCAGTCTGCACCCTCTCCAATTGGGGACTCCTTGGGGGATGTCCAATCTCTGGTTTAGGCCCAATCCCTATGGCCTAAACCAGTGGTTGGACATCCTTCTTGCAATCTGGGACCGCTGGTTTCTAACTGCTCACCTGCATGCCCACCTGATTGCCCCTAACAGCCCTCCCCTGCCAGCCTAATCTTGCCCCCAAGTGCTCTCTCCTGCTGGCCTGATCTCACCCCCAAATTCCCTCCCTGTCAGCCTGATCACCCCTAACTGCCTCGGCCCCTACCACCATTGGCTTTGGAAGGAAGTCAGACATACAGAAGATGGCTGGTCGACCCAGTCTAATTAGCACACTACCCTTTTAGTAGTATAAATTGATTATATATAGGATAGAATTGCTTAAATGGGGGGAAGCCTTTTTCAGCAGGAGATGATCTTAGCAGACAAAAACACGTAATCCCTATATCTGGACTATAGCCAGCCTATGCACTATACTACCAAACCAGTCATGAAAATATTGAACCGCTTTCTTACACCTTACACCAAACAGCTGTTGCTCTTAAAACCCCTCCTCAGTCCCCACCTTAGGTCCTGCCTTCGCAGTTCACCCAGATTAAATTCTGATTGGTCAGTTTCTATGCCAATTAGTGTCTCTAGGCCTATCTCTGGGCCTGATCAAAGAGGCGGGGCCGATCAGCAGCCCCTGAGAAGGCCCCGAGAGAAACAGAGGCTGGCTGCTGGTCAAGCCAGGAGACAAAAGGAGAAGCAACAGCTGGTCAACAGCTGCCAGCTCAGAACCTGCCCCTCTCTCTGCAGGGCTCCCTCTGGGCCTGATCTGCAGCCCCCTAGGCAGTCAGTGCTCGACTTCCCGTGTTGGTCAAGCCTTGGTGGTTAGGGACCCTGGCTCTTTATATACATAGATTAAACATTCAGTTTCTAATCTCTCTTTTTAATATCTTCAGAATTTGAAACCAACTACATTAAAAAACATAAACTAAAACAACTTATATAGGTAAATGAGTTTCCTCAAACATTTACTGGTGTAAGTACATTTTGATATCTTTTAGGAAGGTAATCTGGCCGGGCCTAGCAAAATGGAAAATGTGTCATTTCCCACTCCTTGAAATCCAAAAGTACTAGCGCGCTCTCTCTCTCTCTCTCTCTCTCTCTCTCTCTCTCTCTCTCTCTCTCTCTCTCTCTCACACACACACACACACACACACTATTCATGACAGCATGGCTTATGACCAAGGAAAATAAAACAAAAACTCCAAAACCTAAAAACATGTTCATCATCACAGAAATGGATATAGTTTGAAAATTTGTTTTTGTTGATCCTCATCTGAAGTTAATTTTATCCCCATTGCATTTTCAGAGAGAGTGGGAGGGAAAAGGATAGAGGAGGGAAGAGGGAGATGGAGAGAAAGAAGGAAAGAGGAGTAGAGGGAGAAGGGGGCGGGAGAGACATCGATGTGAGATAGTGGCGGAGAGTGAACATGCCATACCCTTGACTGGAAATTGAACCTGCAACCCTTTGGTGTGTTGGCTGACGGTTCAAACACTGAGGTACCAGGGTGCTATGTTTTTCTTTCTTTCTTTCTTTTTTTTTTTTTTGAGAAAAAGGAAAGGAAAGAGAAAGAAATATTGATTGGCTGCCTCCTACATGACCCTTACTGGGGATAGAGCCTGCAACCCACGTATGTGCCCTGACCAGGAATCGAACAAGCAATCTTTTGGTGCATAGGACTAAGCTCAATCAACTGAGCCACACCAGCCAGGGTACACAATGAATTTGTACACAGCAATTATTATATTGCAGTTAAGAACCAAAGAGCAAATGGTTGATAATAGGTATAGTATGATCCCATCTTCTGTTGTGGGGGAAACAAACCTCACAAAACCAAAACACTGTTTGCGTGTCTATAATTACAGTGCACATAACACGATGATTTATTTTTGAGTGGGTGAGGTGGGCAGAACTTTTGCTTTTTTACTTTATGCACTTGTGTACTGACTCAATGTTACCAAGAAGAGTGTTGAAAAACCTATTAAAATAACAAAGGTAACCCAATTTTTTGTGTCATCCCATTTAGATACAATACTATGGCCAATTACTGCACAACACAATGCAAAACGCAAACGTACCTGTTTCCGTAGTGCCTCTTTGCTGTTTGTGCTTACTCAGGCCTTCCATGACATCCTGAATTCTCCAAAGTTCTTTCTGAATCTGTGCACGCTGAATTCCTGCTGATTCGGTCTATCAGTGAAAACAGACCGCATACAGAAAAAAAAAAATCATTAAAGTTATATATTCTGCTATTTATATGTTTTTAAAAAAAAAGATTTTTAGTGGCACTGATAAAAGATAAAGCAGAAAAAATATAATTTTTCAGCTATAAGCGTATTATTTCACATCTCCTCAGTAAGCTTTGTCTTGTGTTATTTATGACTCCAGAAAGGAATACTGGTCAAAAGGGGCTAAAAATGGAAAACAGAAAAACAGAACAAAATAGAAACTCTCAAAACCCAAATTTAAAAAAAACAACACTTTTTTGGGAGGAGGGGAAAAGCAATGGAAAGTATATTAATTTCTGAAGTCCTAAAACATGTAGACATGCCAAACAAACAAAAGGAGTTTTTGATTGATGGAGTTAAATGTGTTTGCAGAACGAATTCTCAATTGTGGGATCTAAACTTATCACTGCCATTTTCATTCTAAGTTACATCCACTGTCTTACTTCTAATACCCCATTTCATGTCCTCAGGCTAAGAACTATAACTAAACTCTATGAATCTTACTGGTAGATACTTAAGATAACAATAAATATCATAGGAATGGAACATTATCTAAAAAAATGGACATCGAATAGAAATGTGTCCCAAGTCTAGAAACATAAGGACTGTGTGCGAATGCTGCCTCCAGATGTGCTGCATAACCTTAGGGATCCAGCTCTCCGAGTCGCAGGCTGAAAGCACCAAAGCAAAGGAAGTCCTGACACGGGGCCCAAGGCGATGGCAGCCCAGAGATGTGAATACTGCTATGAGCACAGGGAGAGAACAGCAGCTACAAATGCTCTATATAGAATCTGTATTACTTATGCAACAATTAAAAAATTATATATATATATATATATATATATATATGTATTTTTTGCCTATCTGAAAGGTATACAGTGAAAATCTCATTTTAAAATCTATTTTGCATTTTCTGGTTACCACTGACTTTGAATAATATATACACACTTGTTAGCGGTGTGAATTTTACTTTTTTATGAATTAAAACTAGTCATGTTCTTCATTCATTTTGCTAATGTACTGTTTCTCAAAAAAAAAAAAAAAAAAAATCTTTGCAGATCTAGACAGTAACTCTTATTGAAGTCTAGGAGTTAAGACAGTTCTTTCCAGTATGTCACCTTTTGAGTTTGTCAATGTTGCCTTCAGTGTTTAGTTATTTAATAAACACTTTTACAATATGCTTTCTGTGTCTGATGCTGTTCTAAGTACTCCAAAAAAAAATCAATAGAAGTAGGTACTACTATTATTTCTATTTTATAGTTTGGATACCGAGGTGCAGAACTGTAATGTAACTGGTCTAAGGTCACACGTGCCATGCTACTTATCATAGAGTGTGCCTTCTAGTTCTTTATTATTACTACTAGAGGCCTGATGCACAAAGATTCGTGCAAGAATGAGCCTTTCTTCCCCTGGCTGCCAGCACTGCCTTCACTCTGGCTGGAGTCGCCTTTTTGCTCAGGCCCAGAGCAACCTTTCCACCTTCCCACACTGCCCAGAGGCCTGGAACGGCTGGGGTGGTGCGGAATGCCTGTGTTGTCACCATGGTAATGATACAAGCATCCCATCCCGCCCTGGCCACTCAGCACCTGTGAATGCAAATTAACCTTCCATATTTGTTGGGTTAATTTGCATACTCCCTCCCGATTGGCTGGTGGGCGTTGCGAGATAATAGGCTAAATATAGTTTGTTAAAAGAGGCATTTGATATAGAACGATTTAGAATAAGTCAGAATAAACTTTATTTTTAAAAAAAGCTAAAATATACATTATTTGATAAATTCTTATAATTCAACACCTACCTCAGTGCCATGAAGTTAGCTAGGAACAGAGAACACTACACTGTGCACCTGATGGAATACATAACTTTAAACAGAGAGAGATGGGAAATCTTGTGAGATAGTAAGATCCCTATCATTGAAAATATTCAAACTCAAGTCTTAGGTGGCCAATACTGTAAAAACAGTTATGGGCATACATGAATCTATGAAGATAAAACAATGTAAAAAACATGACACTTTTATACCTGAACTTCACCAAGGCGATCTAGCTGCTCTTGCATCTGGTTCCTGGTAATAGTTACATCGTATTCTAACTTATCATATTCTCTCCATGCTCGCTCCAGTTCCTAAAAGCAAAAGGGCTTTCATTATTCTAATGTTATCACTGCAATTATCATGTAGTTTATATTGGGCAGAAAACAAAACACCTTTGTTACTAATTTTCCTTTATTGTTTTTTTCCCCTCATTTTTTAAATTAAGGTAATTCTATGTGTATATAACTTACCAATCCTCACCCCCCCCTTTATTGTTTAAAACAGTTCCTTATATGCCTTGATTAAAATTCTTCCATGAATAAAAACACTAAATACGCTGTTAGGTTTACCATGTTAGGTTTTCAATAACACAGAAGCCTGATATGAATTTAATTATTTAAGAATAAATTTACAGTAACCTATAAACCTAATTCAGCTAACTACACAAGCCATTGACTCAATACAGACACTACTCGCCTCTACTTTTCTCCTTTGGAAAAACCATCACCCCCAAACTCTAAAATCATAGAGAAGGTTTTCATACTTGGTCTAACTCTATTGAATATAGAACGATTCTACAAGCGCTCAAATTACATCATGATTATATTCTGCTTCTATGGGTTGCAGTTACCCTTCAGACATTCAGAGAGTGGTGGTATGAGGTCAACAACTTGATAAACTAAAATAGGGTGGGGACTATATTTTATTAATTTCAGAAAAAGGAAAGGAGAGGGAGAGACAACAGAAATATCAACAAGAAACACCAATGGGCTGTCTCCTGCTTGCCCCATCCTGGTTTCATGGAACGACACTCAGTCAACTGATCCACACTGGTAGGGTGCAGGGACAGTATTCGATTACTATTTTATCACCAGTTATGTGTGGTGCTGGCACATGTAACATAACCAACAAATGCTTACTGAATGCTGTTGTAAAATGAATTAATGACTCTTGTCTAAGAACCTCCCATGACCAGGAATTTCTTGTCCTGAGCTGCTTCGATGAAACTTCCCTAGGAAAGGTCAGTTTAACAATAGTCTGGGGACAGGAAAGAGGGTACTGATTGTGGAAGAAAGTATTTAAAATATTTTAAGAGGGTACTTAAAATAATCTTATTAAACAAACAAACAAACAAACAAACAAACAAACAGCAATATCTCAAGTTCCTAGAGGACCTCTTTTCAAGGTACATACTTTAAAAAAATTAAGTTTTAGAAACTGGTCATTGGGAATCATTGCTTTTTGAGTTTAAGATTCTCCTTAACAGGTTTACGTGTGTGTGTGTGTGTGTGTGTGTGTGTGTGCGTGTGTATTTCAGAGAGGAAAGGAAAGGGAGAGAGATTTTAACATCAGTGATGAAACCTGCAAGCTCCTTAGTGGGGATTGAGCCTGAAACCTGGGCATGTGCCCTGACCAGGAACTGAACCGAGACCTCCTGGTTCACAAGTCAATGCTCAACCACTGAGCCATGCTGGTCTGACTCCTTAACAGGTTTTAAATAGGTAGCCCGAGGAGCCTATTAAGCAGATTTCACAATGAATTAAATTTTTAAAAAGCAAAGTAATAAAGGACTGAAGATTTTCATATGATCTTGATGGTATAAACACTAGCCTCCTTACTTGGCTTCAGCAACACTCTTTTTACCGGAATAAATAAGGATATGATCCCCTTTAATAAAAATAGCTTCTAGCCATGTTCTAATTTGTACACACATAAAAAAAAAAAAAAAAAAAAAAGAAAAAAAAAAAAAAAAAGAAAGAAAAAAAAAAAAGAAAAAAAAAAGAGGCAAATTTAGGTAGAGGGCTTTTGAAGGCTCAGGGAGGGTAAAATGAGGGTAACGGATCCGATGGCAGCCCAGTGATTAAGGGAAGATGGTATTGACAAACTAACACCTAACACCCCAAGAAAAGCCAGAGTTTGGGGGAAATGGCTCAGGGGGAGGGGGAGGAGAGGAGGAGGTGGGCCCAGGAGGAGGAAGAGGGCCCCCAAAGGCGCTGTAGAAGCATCTAAATATAAGAACATTTTATTTTATTTTTTTTACAGAGAGGAAGAGAGAGGGATAGTTAGAAACATCAATGAGAGAGAAACATGGATCAGCTGCCTCTTGTACACCCTACTGGAGATGTGCCCGCAACCAAGGTACATTCCCTTGACCGGAATCAAACCCAGGACTTTTCAGTCCGCAGGCTGATACTCTATCCACTGAGCTAAACCGGTTTCAGCTATAAAAACATTTTAGAATGGTGGGAATCCTCATCTTTCTTACAGAAACAAGAGAAAGAGAGACAGAGCTAGAGATTACTTTTCCAATACCATATTTTCTGGCATATAAGACGACCCCCCCTAATTTTACAGTTAAGATATAGGTGTAGGCCTATATTCGCTGTATAAGACTACCCCCCACTTCCGAGGCAACACCAGTTCTTTTTTAAAACTTTTAATGAATGACATTTTTCGAACATACCGTAATATACCATACATTGATACGATAAATGGAAGGCCTCTTCACAAAATTCGTTTAGCGGCATATGGAGACATTTTTTGGGATATCCTCGGCGTATAAGACAACCCCCGATTTTCGGTTGACTTTTTTCGTTTCAAAAATCGTCTTATACGCCGGAAAATACGGTGGTTTAGGAGCGAGGAAACATAATATACTTTCAGTTTTCATAACCTGGATACATTGCACTGTATCGTTTGGCCCGAGTCCCATAATCCTGTTGGGCCTCCCATTTCTGCCATTATCTCTCGGCTCCTCAAACATGAAACACCAGTCAGCAGGTGATCCCAAGAAAAGGGGTGGCACTGGCATAGCATCGGTTTCCTCCCAACACCTGGCTGGGTGTGTCATTAAAGAATTTAACGGATTATGCAAGCACAATGTTAAAATCTTTAAATATGTCTTTACTATTTTTTTTCTCTCAAGAAGATAATATATAAGTGCATCAAGGCAATTAAAAGGGTTTTAATGACTTTCAAGTAGGCAATGACCTTAAAACAGTGCTTGAAATAAAAATGTGTACAGTTTCATATCATACAGTTAAGAGAATGGATGAACTCTTGCAATTTACAACCACATGGATGAACGTCACAAAGTTACGTGACATGTATATGTGACATGATCATATTTTATTAAGATACAAAAACAGGCAAAGCTAATATATAGTTAACAGTTTAAGTGATGTTTTTGGGAGAAGGCAATAAAATTCAATGCCTTGATTTGGATAGCAGGCATATCTGTGCATTTACTAGTGTAATTTTTGGAGAATATGTTGTCACAGTTAAATATGTGTGCATGTGTGGGGTCGTTTCAGGAATGGCAAAAGAATAAAAAATCCCAATTTAGCCAACAAGTAAATTTTTTTTTGGTAATCCTGACCTGAGGATAATTTTTCCATTGATTTTTAGAGAGTGGAAGGGAGGGAGGGTGGAGAAAGAGAGTAACAGATGTGAAAGAGACACAATCTGGACTGGGATGGGGCCTGCAATCTAGGCACATGCCCTTGAGCAGGAATTGAACGTGGTTGCGGGCCCAATCGCCAGTAAGGGGCAGGGAGCTGATCAATGATTCCCTCTCATAACAGATGCTTCTATCTCTCTGAAATCAATAAAAAATATATTAAAAAAAAAAACACTTTAAAAAATTGTAACACCCTCTTCCCCCCACTTCCTTCCTACATATTTGTTGAAGAAAAAGGTTTTTTTCCCCTGTAAAGGTTCTCTTACTCTAGGCTTTGCTAATTGAATCCCTGTGATACTGCTTAGTGTGCTCTTCTGTTTCCTATAAATTCGTAGTTAGATATGGAGACTGTTGAGATTCAGATTTGATTTTTTGGTAAAAATAGCCCTTAAGTATTGCTGGGTACTTTCTACTGCAGCACACCAGGGAGCTGTCACACCTGGCTGTCTCTTTCTCGGGGATGTGGCTTAGTGATCAGGAAGTAACCAGGGTATTTAAAACCCATCTTACAATCCTTCAAAGCAGTCCGTGACACTTCACTTGGTGTAAGTCCCTCCCTGCTTCCATGCCACTTTAAACTTACAATCTTTTTTTTTTTTTAAATAAATTTTTATTGTTCATATTATTACAAATGTTCCTTTCCCCCCTCCCCCCACCATTGCTCTCCTCCATCAGGTTCCCACCCCACCCTCTGCCCTTTCCCCACTCCCCATTGTCCTCATCCATAGGTACACAGTTTATGTTCAGTCTCTTCCCACATGCCCTCTCCCCTTTTCCCCAAGAATCGTCAGTTCACTCCCCTTTCATACCTCTGATTCTATTATATTCAACAGTTACTGTTGTTCATCAGATTTCTTTTTTTAAATTTTCTTGGTTTTTAGATTCACTTGTTGATAGTTACGTATTTGTTGTTCATAATTTTTATCTTTACTTACTTTCTCTTCTGAAAGAATCCCCTTCAGCAATTCATATAATTCTGGTTTGGTGGTGATGAACTCCTTTATAAGCTTACAATCTTAGACCTGCTTTGTCCACTGTAATCTAAATTCCCCACTTACTCACGGCCCTCCTGTCTCCCATCCGGTGTAGAACACAAATAGATAGGTTTTAATGGAAGTCTACACATGCTACTTATAATTGCAATCTCCGTGTCTCAGTTTTCCACTTTCAACATAGTAATAATAGTATCCACGTCAAGTTCATAATGAACTCGGCAGTTAATAAGTGCTGGAGAAATATTCACGATTATTATTACTGTTTCATATACTGATAGTCTTACAGTGGATCAATACGTAAGCCCTCCAATAGGATGATTCAGGATGACTGGGGGCCTTTATAACTTGCTTCTGATGTCTGAAATCCCAATTTTAGATTTTTTCATAAGAAAATATAAATTTGATTTCTTTCCCCCCCCCTTTTTTATTTAAAGTCTTTATTGTTGAAAGTGTTGTATATGTTTCCTTTTCCCCCATTGACCTCTCCCTACCCACTCCTGCCACCAGCATGGTTTGCATAATTCTTTTTTTTAAAAAATTGTTTGAAGCATTACACATCGTACTATACAAGTTCCAGAAAGTACATGTGACTGTCTCGTGAGGTGGAGCAGGAAGTACAGAAGCCCCAGAATGAAGTGTTTGACTTAGAGATGCTGACTCTGGTCTGACCTTGCTTCCTATTAGTTTCGTCACCTTGGCAAGCCTCTCACTGGGAAACCCTGGAGCATTCTGCACATTTTCTCAGAATCCTCAGTGGGACCGAGGTCCCGCTGCTCAGAGCGGTAACCAACTCAGCAGTGCTTTCCCCTCTCCCTCTCCACACTCAGTGCTTCCGTTCCTGCAACCACCTCCCCCCAAACTTTCTGAACCCAGTTCCTCATCTCAGGGTCTGCTTTCAGAGGAGAATCCAAACCAAGACAGTTTATACACTGAAAAATACCAAGGTATATCAGACTGCTTTAATAATCTTGCTCACTAATCCAGTTTAGATAAAGTAGAGGTGAGAACACCACATACCTAAAAGCATGTGGCTGTGCTGGGTGGGGCTTATGGAGAGGAGGTACAGCTTCAAGAATTAAATAAAACATAAAGGGAATGCTGCTTTACATGTTTACCTTGTGCTAATCCTGGTTTTTATGTACCTAAGTAGCCAACCAGAGAGGAGATGTTCTCTGAAACCCAGGCTTGATCATTGCATGCCTTAATGTTATGCCTCTGATGTTCTATCTTTTATACCTCAGAAGTTAGATTTGAACCAATGCCCTGAATCAATTGTGAGGGAATCAGAGGATGCCCTTTGAGATTCTGCTGGCATAAATGTTAAATCTAATTTAAATCTAATCAACATCCACTGAGTGTCCACCCTATGCCCAGTGTGATGCTATGCATCATTTGTAGCTTTCAGCTGCTAATATGCATTAACTTTACATAAAGACACAAATTTACACAGTTTGTATTCTATGCAGAAGACATGTCTTAGAAGAACACACTGAGGGCTCATAATGATCAATTGAATAATGCCGAAGGCAAGGGGAAACAAACAACACAGAAAAGTGATTATATGGGATAAAACCAGAAAGTGGGATATTAAAACATGATTAATTTCTATTAAAACACTTTTAATAAACTTCTATCAGTGCTGGAGTTAACCTTGGGATGGAGCAAATTCTAAGCCTCCTACTGAGATTTAAGTGCCCAACCCCAGAATTCCCTAAAACAGATATCAATCATGAAATAGCTTTCAACAAAATTTTGCTTTGACTCAGGTCATCACAGGAATACTGAAGCTTCCATGAGTTTGGCACTGACATCTTAGCCCCATGTCCTTTTCTAATCTCACATTCCGATCCCTGAATTCTAGTCAGCCGGTTCCACTCCTTGCTTCTCCAGACATGTCTCCCACGTTCCCATTTCTGCGCTGTGATTCGAGGCGTTTTGTCCTGTATGGACCACCTTTCACTTCCCCTTTCTTCCTATCCAAATCCAACCCATCATTAACTGGTTACCATCTTGTGGACATTTCAGGTGTACTCATTTTCTTTATGACTACACTAGAGGCCCGGTGCACAACATTCAGATCCCCCTGGGGACCGGGCCTAAGCGGGCAGTGAGACATCCCTCTCGCAGTCGATGACCCCTCGCTCCGAGGCTCCCACCACAGCTGCTACACTTGTCAGCTATGAGCCTGGCTTCTGGCCGAGCTGAGCTCTTCCTAGGAAAGCATGTTGACCACCAGGGGGCAGCTCCTGCATTAAACGTCTGCCCCCTGGTGTTTAGTGCATGTCATAGTGACCAGCTGTCCCACTGTTAGGTCGATTTGCCTATTAGGGTTTTATTATATAGGATTATAAAAACCCATGTAATCTAAGCCTTCAGGTCCGATTTGTGTTCTGGACACAGCACTTCCTAGTTTTGTAATGTTGGGCAAATCATTCAATTCAATCAATTCATCCAATTTTCAATGCACATCTTAACAGTGTTGGGTGCTACAGCTAGGCGGTTCTGATATCAAGATCACAAGTGGAAAAATATTAAACTTTTAAAAAACACACCTATAACATCTCCGCATAAGTAACAGACGTTAAATGAGATAACTTAAATAACTTTAAAATCAGGGATAAGTATCCTGTATAATAAAAGGCTAATAAGCAAATCAACTGAATGGTGGAATGACTGGTTGCTATGATGCGGGCTGACCACCACAGGAGCTGCCCCCTGGTGGTCAGTATGTTCCTACAGGGGGTGCACCGCCTGTCTCCCCGGCAGTGTTCAGGATGTCTGACTGACAGGTTAGGCTCGCTCCCCCTGGGCTCCCGGACTGCAAGAGGGCACAGGCCAGGCTGAGAGGACCCCCCCCCCCCAAATGCACGAATTTTGTGCACTGGGCCTCTAATATTAAATATTAGGTATTTAAGAATCATAAAATCGAAGTTATGATTTATTTAACACCATGCTATATTCACTTAAAAAGAACCCATGGTGAATTTTTTTTAAAAAAAATTTATTTATTTATAAATATATATATTTTATTGATTTTTTACAGAGAGGAAGAGAGAGGGATAGAGTTAGAAACATCGATGAGAGAGAAACACTTATCAGCTGCCTCCTGCACACCCTATACTGGGGATGTGCCCACAACCATGTACGTGCCCTTGACCGGAATTGAACCTGGGACCTTTCAGTCCGCAGACCGACGCTCTATCCACTGAGCCAAACCGGTTTTGGCTTTTTGTTTTGTTTTTAAACCCTCACCCGAAGATATTTCCCCATTGATTTTTAGAGAGAGTGGAAGGGAGGAGGAGAGACAGAGAGAAATACTGATGTGAAGAGAGACTCATTGATTGGTTACCTTCCACATGAGCCTGCAACCAAGGTACGTGTCCTTAAACAGGATCCAACCTGGGACCCTTCAGTCGTGGGCCAACTGAGCCAAACTGCATAGGGCAGTGGTTGGCAAACTCATTAGTCAACAGCCAAATATCAACAGTACAACAACTGAAATTTCTTTTGAGAGCCAAAGTTGTTGTTTTTTTTTTTTTTTGGCTTTTCCTTTTTTAAAAAATTGATTATGGTATCACATAATTGTCCCCATCCCTCCAATCTCACCCCAAACCCCTCCCCACGTATGCCCCCACCCAGAGAGCCAAATTTTTAAAACTTAAACTTCTTCTAACGCCACTTCTTCAACATAGGCTCACCCAGGCCATGATATTTTGTGGAAGAGCCATACTCAAGGGGCCAAAGAGCCACATGCGGCTTGAGAGCCGCAATTTGCCGACCACAGGGCCAGGGCAAAAATAGCTCATGTTTGGAACACTATTTTAGTGTTCAGAATCGAAGCCATGTTGAGATTCTGGAATCCTGCCAGCGTGAAAAGACCTTTCTTAGTTAAGCCGTGGACCTTCTTAAAAGGTAGCTGCTCCCTAAGGAGTCCATTGGAGGTACAGACAAGGATGTGTTAGCAGCTTTAACAGGTGGCTTTTGCGAGGATTTCTCTTTCAAAGGGCTGCGTGGGCAGGTGCTCTTACCACGTCTAGGGATGACTGCACACAGGATCTAAAGCAGCCTGTGCAGACTCATAAAACACTTTAATTTATAAACGGCACGTAAGACTTTTAGATTTAGTAATCCCAAGAGACTCTTTATAAAGCGACAAGACTGTGGGTTAAAAGGTTCGGCTAATTATATTTCTTACTGAAACCTATCATCTAAACTGAGATTACACTGCAGCCATGAAACAGTAATGTTGACAGGCTCTTAAAAGCATTTCACAGGTGCCTTTTATTGAAATGGTTGGTTGAGGGAACCTAATTACCACCTTCTCAAAATTATCCCAACCCCTTTAAAGTTAAAAAAAAAAAATTTCCTTAAATCTAAACAAACATTTTTCATTTGCATAATATACAAACAGAAGTATTTATCTCCGATAAAAACAACTATTTCACAATAAATAAGATGCCTACTACTAATTAGAGAAATGAAGACCAACCTTCATTTTTTATATCATTAATTAATAACAAATTAATTTCTAGTTATAATAAAGAGTCTAAAGATAGTTCAATCAAACAGAAATAAAGGAAAAACTGCCTAATATTTCAGGGAATCTTTTAAATGTATTTTTATTTTTATTGATTTCAGAGAGGAAGGGATAGAAACATCAATGATGAGAATCATTGATTGGCTGCCTCCTGCACATCCTCCACTGGGGATCATGCCTGCAATCCCTGGCATATGCCCTTGACCAGAATTGAACCTGGGACCATTTGGTCCACAGGTCGACGTTCAATCCACTGAGCCAAACCAGCTAGAGCAGGGAGTCTTAATAGGAGAACAGAATCTGCTACTTACGGCAGTGGCTCGCGAAAGCTCTCGACACGTGCTGAGCAGCCCGTTTTGTAAATCATCCCTCTGCAACACCACTGTCTGGATGGCTGCTGGGTTATCGGCATTCATTTCTATCTCTTGGCTGGCGGAGAGCAAAGCTTGCTCAAGCGTGTACTATTGTAATAAAAATAATTACATTTAATGTTCTGCACCATGGAATTAATTCCTTTTCAGTTATTACAGTGTCCCAATAATAACCATATAAAGTAACACCAATTGCAGATAATAAACATAATTGTCCTACTTTCTCCTTGTGGAGTTGCTGGAGTTTCTCTTCCAGAGCATGTACCACTTTATCTTGTTCACAGAGACGGCTTAACTTGGCCTACGTTGTAAGAGAAGATACCTTTTGTTAGCAATTTCCCCATCCTGTACCTGGAGGTGATTCTAACAAGAAAACACACTCAAAAAAGCTATGGAATACCTAATTGTGTCAATCTTTATTTTTTATTTTTTTGTTAATCTTCACCCAAGGATATCTTCCATTGATTTTTAGAGAGAGTGGAAGGGAAGGGGAGAAAGAGAGAAACATCAGTGTGAGAGAGACACACCAATTGGTTGCTGCCTGTTTTTTTCCTGTACATACATACACTTTTACAGCTTCACTTTGGTATATCTGAATTGCCACCATCTCTACTCTCAAGCTTTGAGGCTGTCATTCAATAAAATAAGGGTTACTTGAACACAAGCATTGTGATACCCTGACATTCGATCTGATAATGGAGATGGGTATGTGATGAATGAGTAGGTGGGGAGTGTATGCAGCAGGGAGATGATGGACAGAGGGATGAATCAATCACCCTCATGATACTCAGAATGAGATGAACTTTAAAATTTATGAGTTGTTTATTTCTGGAATATTTCATTTACTATTTTGGATCTGGGCTGACTGCAGGTCAGTGAAACTGCACAAAGCAAAACCAGGTAAGGGGGAACTACTGTAAACTGAAATGAGAAAAAGGAACAACTCAATGAAAAAAGCCAGGGGAAATGAGGGAAGAATGGGATATAAATAAGTAAGAATGCATGGCAAGCTATCAATCTGAAATATGATTTTAAAAAAATATGAAATTTAATAAAAAAGGAAGGAGTGATAGAATTTGTAGTGTATACTTTCTCCAAAAACATTTAGACAATTTTACTTTGTCCTCAGTCCTACATAATTTTTAATGAAATAGTCTTGTATTTGCTCTTACATGATTCTTAATATATTTATTTGACTGCTAACTACGGGGGTGAAGATTTGCTGGAGAATAGACTCAATCTAAGTGCAAAAGAAGAAAATGCTAATTCATTTGATGTCATTTTGGAGGGCAGAAAAGGAAGAGGGATTTTTTGTCATGCTTTATTTACAATGTTTTGGCAGAGAATATGACAGCACTGACAATACACAGCAAAGGAATACTTACATCAATATCTACTTCGTCAGGCCTGTATTTGTATAAGGTGCCTCTGCATTCATCTTGTGACAGCTATGAGGAAAAATGTCATATAGGAACTTTAACACTAATATTCAAAAATATACTTATTTAGCTATAGTTAATATTTTAAGTTTATATAACAATAATAAAAATGGGGTTTTAATGATTCTTATACTTTCAGAAGTTTAATTCAAACAGATCATTACAAAAATAGAAAGATATTTCACAGTGATACAATATGCAAGATACATAAAAAATGGTGTTAACTTCAGCTTATCAAACAAAATAATAAGCTGGTCACACAAAATTATACAGCACCTTACATTTTCCATTTGTAAGACACACATTTTAATGAAAGTTGACAAGTACAATTGTGGCAACTATATTGGATCAAATAATTTGAGTCAGGCATATTTCAACGTCAAAGCTGTCATTCACAGTATACACATAATCACACAACTGTGTATGTGTACACTCAAATGTCAACACATCTTAGTACAATTTTACCAACAAAGCTTATAACGTATTGTATACAGATACATAATATATAAACACACATACACAATATAGACTTATCTTGCTCTTCTGTCTTAAGAACTAAAAGATAATGGAGGAAAAGTATGGGTTTAATTGAAAAGAGGAAAAAGATCATTCAAAACCTTATAAAACTGAAAGCCTATATTATAAACTATGATAGTCAAATTTCATAAAAAAACTTATATATGTTCACTGACATTTGTTTTACTATATTGTAAATAATAATTATTCAGTGTATTTAAACATGGTTTCTTCAGCTTCTTCCAAATATCTTTTGGTCAAACAAATGCTCATTTCTGGTTGTGCTTACCAAGATTTCAATAGCCACCCCCATCAGTTATAGACAGATCACATCACAGCCTCTGCAGGCAGTATTTCACTCTCTCTCGTTTTAAGGGTTTATATTGACTGCTAGGCAGTAAAAACAAACAGAAAAATTTAATTGGGGCTCATTGCATGTTTACTAAATGGCACATTTTTTCTCAAAGTGGGGATGGGAGTAATGTATTCCCAACTACATTCTAGATTAGAAAATTAAATTTCATATGTACACATATAAATATATAAGAATACATAAATTATAAGTATATATGCCCTTTCTTTAAAAAACTGCTCGACAGTTACATCTTTAGAAGGAGGCATAATTTAAATAGCAGATAATTTTGAATGGATCTGGAAATGTGGGAATCAGGGTAAATGCCAGCATTCCAAACATACAATAATAATCCTGGATTTCCGTGTTTCATTTCAAGACACGACTTTCACGTACCTCATGCAAATGAACCCGTGACTATTTAAGGTATGCACAGTGATTGTAAACCACAAAAATTTCATAGAAATGAACATCACATGAAAAATGAATTTAGTGTCCAAAGTCAATATTTGTGCACTATTTTGAAATAAAGATCACTGAATATGTCCTCAGGAGTGTAGTGTCAATTGCCATTCTAAATTAAAGCTTCTAAACCTAAGAAAGGGATGTATACTTTTATCAATGAGAAATGTTTAAAAATGCTTAGATCGATGACAAAAAATATAATATGAAAAAATAATTTTTTCATTTATTAAGAATTGAAGATATAAAGCTTTTAGCTACTAAATGTCCAAACATACCGTGCTTATTTAATATTTAAAGTTAAATGCAGAACAGCTTTACTAAACAATGGAGTGTGTAATTTGAACATAACTGGTAGACAGTATCACATCAAGACTGAAATAGGAATTGTATCCTATATGCCAGGGTCAACAGCAAAAAGATTTGTAATTTTAAATGAAAACTTAGTAACCTGTAATAAGTATTTTGGACATTGGTATGACATTTTTATCTACGGAATATTATTGCATTTTCATTTTCCTAACAGTTAGCATAGTATAAGAAAGAAAAACATGTACTGCATAGTTATAATTTTAGAATGACATATCCTTATAGATATCTGAATATATTATTTACACAAATTAAATTTTTGTTTTATCTAAAAAGTATAACAGAAAAATTTATTTAAACCTTTTATGAAATAATTCAATAAAGATATTCATTATTAGATATCATTGTTAAACATTCATTATTTAGAAAAACTTTTAAAATAAGCAAACTTCCATTTATCCAGTGCTTTTACCTGTCAGAAGAAGAGTATAAGAAAACAAGATTATCCTTTAAATAATTAATTTTTAACCAGGACCTATTTGTCATTACTGATAACCACTGAAGCTGTGCTGAAGAAAAGATGAATATAATTTATTCAAAAAACAATTTCCATCTAGAATTGGTTTGTTATTTAGTCCTCAATATAAAAACTCTACTACTAAAAAAATGTAATTTCATTAATATTCAGATTAAATACAATTTGCATAAATTAATGTTTCATGCAAATACTTTTTACCATTTTTCAAAGTCATCTTTAGGAAAAAAGAAAAAGAAAAAAAAGTCCGCCAAACGTCCTGGCTTGCAGTACTTCAGCAACATTAGAAAAACAAATGAAAGCGGCCAGGTAGTAATTAGATGAGCCTAATTAGAGAAGTGTACTGTGCAAACCTGACCGAATGTGTAGGATATGTACTGCATCTTATTTAGGAAGCCAGAACTTTTTCATAAGGTATCTAATAATCTTGAAAAAAAAAAGGGGGGGGGAGGGGCTTACCATTAAGCAAAACGAAATTAGTTTTGTCCATTAAAATTCAACTTTCTACAGTATCCCTTGTTATATATGTAACATATATATGTACACACAAACCCCAAAAATAATTTTTGAAGAAATATTTAATAATATTAGACATTACACCCTATGTAGATTCAAAAATGCTCACAGGGCTGTAAGCATTTGCTATTAGTCTGTATCTTTTGTATCTTTTAAAACAATTATTTATTAGGTGATTAATTTCACTGATTAATTATATTATAAAAACCCTGGTTACAACAATGTAATTATGAAAGATGGTAGAATAAATAAGAGGAATTTTTAAAATTGATGCTTATTTCTTTTGATTCAGTTTTTGGTCCTACTTATTTGATTAATTTTAAGATAATTACTGTCTAGGTAATTTCTTCTTCTAAGAAAATGCCAGCATGAAGATCCTCCTGAATGAAAACTTCAAACAGGGTGATTTAGAGTAACAGGTCATACAATATGATATTGTCACTATATTTTCAGCTGAACTCAGGAGCCATTAATACAGTATTGTAATGCAATGTCAGAAAAAGCATAACAGTGGTCAATGTAAAATCTGATAAAAGTTTACTTTGGATAATAACATGACAAAGGAAACCTGGAGGAAAAAAAAATTAATATCTCCACATTAAAAAAAACACAAACCCTCCAGCCGGGACCGGTTTGGCTCAGTGGATAGAGCGTCGGTCTGCGGACTGAAAGGTCCCGGGTTCAATTCCAATCAAGGGCATGTACCTTGGTTGTGGACACATCCCCAGTTGGGGGTGTGCAAGAGGCAGCTGGTCGATGTTTCTCTCTCATCGATGTTTCTAACTCTCTGTCCCTCTCAATTCCTTTCTGTGTAAAATCAATAAAATATATTAAAAAAAACAACAAAACAACAAAACAAAAAACCCTCCAATTGGAACTTAGTGTGACTGAATAATTTCAATCAGCAATGATGTCTGCATCATGAATGCTGATTAGTAATCAATATAAAAAAGAAAAACCAAACCAAACCTAACCAAACAGGTTAGCACTTTTATTAACCTAATACAGCCAAAATGGCTTTGATCTCAGATCAATTCAGCATCATTCAAAACAATAAGCAAATAGCTTTGACACAGAAAGGTGTCAATCCCAGAACACGTGCTGAGGTTCTCAGGCGTCACTTTGGAAGGGAGTGTGGTGTAGGTTCTCTCATCTGGTGACTTTCAGAATGGGAAGGCTCCATTTTCTTTTGAAAAGTAAAGCTGTTTAACTTTAAATATTTAATACTTTCTCTCTTTATTGCAAATGCAAAACTACGCTCAATCACAAAATATACTTTAAATGTTTTGAAATCTGCTTGGAAGTGAGTCACCCTCCCCCAGGCTGTTTCAATTTCACAGCTGCAAGGCCATGATGCTGAGACAGCAAGGTGACTAAGGCAAACCAGAGTGACCTCCAGGCACTTTAAAAAACAACAGCAGATGTTTTACATATTTTAGTCAAAACATATATTCATTTTTCATGTTAGTTAATTTTCTTCTTCTCTACGATTTAAGTAACTAACAGGTCATGGGCCACAGTAATTTGAGTGTTGAGGTGGAAGAAGCTGATGTTGCAGAACACACAGCTAAGAACATTGAGACCATGAAATAAAAAATAAATAAAGTGGATAAGAATGTATAACATGACTTCTTTTGCAGATCTGCAGATTACCAAGGTCCTACATGAAAGCCAGCCAACTACATAGTATATATATTCCGAGTTAGGGGAAAAGAATGAGGAAAGACAGGACTATCTTGATAACTGCATAAGGATGATAAGAATACAGGGAGAAGATACTCCCAGTATTTTAAGAAATGGCCATCTGTAGGTTTTACTGGACCACAGTAGAGAAGCTAGATGTAAAGGACTTCCATACAAATATCATCTATTCCTAAAACATTGAGGGGAAGGGGGGTGGCCCATAAAAGGAAAAAAAAAAAAATTAAAGTTTTTCCTAAAAATCAGTTATAATGTTTTTACAGTTAATCAATATTAATGGCAATATTAGTAAAAAAATTTGCAATTGTACTGCAGACCTACAAGTACATATCAATCAAATACTCTGCACAAAAACTTCAGGAAAATGGCACACTCAATATTCAACAGCAAAATGTTCAGCGAAGCCATGCTAAGAATACTGCAGCATCTTGAAAAGCATGGATGAATTGCATTTTTCCAAGTAGACAGAAACAAAAAAGAAATGGAATAAGAAAAACACTAATGTTATGAGGAACTCTGAGGATAAACCAAAACTGTCACTGAGGGATTTTGCAGATGATAAAGCAGTATCATTCACTGTCCAAGACCTTACTTGCTGGTACAGTTGGGGTCTTAGCG